CAATGATAAGAATGTTGATGAAAAGGAGAAGACAAAAAATGTGAAAAAAATCAAAGAGTAATTAGATTAAACTTTTCTCTTCAACAATTTTCATCTCAAATTTAATGGTGCTGCTACCTTATGGTGACCGTTTTAGTTAAATATCTCATTACAAGATTTAGCATTGAAGAGGGGTCTCTTATTATTACTGTTTGAACAAAATGAAAGTAGAGGTTTAACGATAAATCGATTATGCAAAAACGTGTTTTAAATAAACAAACAAACAAACAAAAGTAGTGATTAATTATTGAATTGATTAATAAAAATGGATCAAAAAATGGCTTACCGTACTCAAGTTTGGACCCTTTACCTGGAAGTTTATCGGATGTTGAACAGTGACCTTCAGAGAGTAGAAAAGGTAAAGGATTGGAAGGAATGGCATTGAATGGGATCCTCAAAGCGGTCCGAAAATTTAAAGAAACAGGATCTGTTTTATACAAAACCAACAAAAGGAAAGAAACAACGGATTGACCATCAGATGAGCCAAAACATATGAGCCTGATACAAAACAGCCAAAAGCTTTAAGAGCCAAATACAGAAGAGCTAAATGCAGAAGGATTTTAAAGTTAATCAAACTCAATACAATCTTTCAATTGTTATTTTGATTGTTGGTTTATTGTTAGATTAGAAGCATTTGTAAAATAGCCTTTCGAGTAAAGAGTTTGATGTAAAATAAGGTTCCTCAACTGTTGAAATCAGACCAGTTTCAACTTTTACCAACGATTGTCCACCAATTCCAAATGAATTTAATTTAATTTATGACGATGGTTTTTCATTTTAAATGAATATTATTAGTGTGACAAAATCAAAAGATTTCATTTTTGGATTTCTTATTTTGACGATGGTTTTTCATTTGAAATGAATATTATTAGTTTGAGCTTTTTGGTTTGGATTTTTGTATTTAACTCAGTAAAAATTTTAGGTGCAGTCATTTTTGCATCAAAATAATGTCTTTTCGGAAGGGTTCTAAAAAAATTTTATGACCAAATGATGGACAATATTTTATGTTTTGATATTGAGGATGTTTTTATATTAAGAATTTGAGCCTTTAAATGTAAATTGAATTTGAATTTATTTTACTCAGTAGAAAGAAATATGAAATTAGTTGCGATTATTATTGTTTAGCAGGTTAATTTTACATACTTTATTTGGTCTAAAATCGGTACGATTGCATCGGTGTTATATTTTGTTGTTCATATTGAGTTTTCAATTCACAGAAACGTTTTTCGATTGCGATTTTCTTTTTTCTTTTCCGTATTACAGACTGACCAGATAGATGAACTGATAATTTTGTTTCTTGATATTTATGCTGTTCCATGATTTTTTGAATGAATGTCCATAAATAAGGATAAGCTATCTCGTTCGAATTGTTTAGTAAACTGTTCCAACCTTCCACGTGATTTGTAGTTCGAGGTCCATCATTGTTTGAGTGATTCCATATGTCATTCGGGAATCTTGCGTTATCTTTTAAGAAATTATCGTAAAAGTATTCCAATAATTTATCTAGATCATCATCATCAGGAGCTTCAGCTACAATCGTCTCGAAGACTTGTACTAGATCTTGTCTCTTGATTAAGGGCAAATTTTGAAGGCGCTTGAGTGTTTTTGCGTATAAGTTTCTTGTACCTACTTCTTCTTGTTGACATCTATTTGTTAATCCCAATTTTTGCATCATTCTTCTGATGCATTGAGAGAAATGAAACATGCATCCAGTAATTGTTGAGCCAGGAAATTTTTGTTGTATTGCTTTGATTGTAGCTTTTTCGAAATCGATCGAAAAGCTTGATGGAGAGAAAACAATTCCATAAAGTCGACCATAGTTTATTAATAACTGGAAAAGTCTTTCGTAGGTGACTTTCTTTTTGTCAGGCAGTAAACAATATACAGCTGGTACCATCAATTTATCCACCACCAGATGAATTGTGTATATTTGCGCAAATAGTTCAGGACATGATTTAAATGTTCCATCCATGAAGAGTTTATCAGCTTGAGCCATTCTTTGATAAGATTTAAAAGTTCCAAAGATCAGAATTCTATCGTCAGTTCCATCATCAGCGATTAAAAAATTTTCACCGGTTGACAATACTTTAAACTTAACAGGTAAATTTATCTTCTCTTGTCAACGGTTAGTTGTAAAGTTTAGGCAATAGAGAATTCTTTGCTCTTGATATTGTTGGTTGAACAGAAATATAAGGTTTTATCGAAGCACAAAGTTGTTCATCACTAATATTCAGCACATCTTGTAATGCTTGAGTGGAGGCATTGTAAATCTCTAGTCCAGTTTGATTTGGATTGTCACTTATCTTTTCTTTGATTAAGTTGTTTCGTTGACGTTGTATAATAGCAGAAAAATCAGGTTCATGTTGATGTTGACCATTTAATATGAATATTCCATCTTTGAGCGAGCCTCTAGCTTTACATGTGTTATCACAGCAGGTCCAATATGAAGTGGTTCCATAAATTGATTTCTTTCGATACAAAAAACTTTGATGCATTATTAAATCACGGTTCTTAGTTGATTTCACGTATTCAAATTCATGATGATTACAATATCGAGCTTCTATTACAATCGAAAAGACGAAGACTCAAACTATTACCAAGTTAAAACTGTTCGAATTATTTCACCGTCCAAACTTAAACTTCTAAATTTTTAAACCTCTTTTGTTTGTGTTAATTATTGCCCATGGACTTTTTGGCTTAAGCGTATTTAGCTCATTCCTCGTTTGGCTATTTTGTATTTTGCCCAAGTCTTTTGGCTATTTTGAATGCCTCCCGAAACAACGTTATGAAAAAGCCAAGGTGATGGAGATGGTTACCAATGATGCAACTATTTCTTTGAGAAAAGCAGCGGCTGTTGATTTATCACCAATGTCGATATTGAGGACATTCAAATCTAATAAACTCTTTTCTCATAAACCAACGGATACTCAGCAACTAGTAGCCATCCATATTGATGCAAGCTTCAGTTTTTGCGCCAAGCTCCTACAAATGGTTTCGTCTAACAATTTTAGACACCAAAAATATATGGTTCGCATATGAGAACGTTTTACATTAACGGGACGAAACAATCGACAAAACAGCAGGACTTGGTTAGCAAGGAGAGCATTCAAACATAAATCAACTTGTCGCTCATCCTCAATGCCATGTCTGGGCTAATTTAAGCTCATAGTGTCTCATAGGTCACTATTTTTTCTCTAGTAATGTTAGTCAGGTTACTTACCGTGAATGTATTCAATCTTTTTCATTCCTGAGTTAGCAAAATATCCTTATCAGTTGGAAACAGCCTGGTTTCAGCAGAACGGAGCCATTCCTCATTGCACCAATTAAGCCCTTGCCTTGTTTACGCAACACGCTGCAACTAAACTTATAAGTCGACGCAGTGATTTTGAATGGCCTCCAAGTTCTTATGACCTTAATCCATTAGATTATTTTCTTTTGGGTTTTATTGAGAGTCAAGTATGACACGCTCAACCGAAAACATTGAGTCAATCAAGAAATGATTTGTAAAACAGTTAAAATCGGTAATTCGGTCTCATCAAAAATTGTTACTCGAGCCCAATCAATTTGTTTACGACATTTTCTATTCTTACAAACAAAAGATTTTCCAAGTACAGAATCTTTGACATTTCTCAACACCATGTCACCTTGTCACCAAACAACCTTTAGCAACTATTAGGTTAAAACAATTAGGAATTAATTTGAGGTCAATACAAAATTCTGAACCTGGTAAAATGCTTCATTGTTAAACTGTTTCACAAATTAACTCCCGTAAGGGCGACCATCCGGGAGTCGGCCCAACTTGAATTCGGGGTTATATCTCCTATAAATAATTGCCATGCATTAAACTTTCGTTCTAATATTGGAAGTAAATTCACCATCTCAGCATCCGTTAACGTTGAATAATTCATTTTCAGGTATTGCCTAATTACACGCTGATCTTTAACTCCTGAATTTAGAAGTTTGAGAAGCCAAAGTGTGCTTTTAATTGTATTGTATTTTTCATCTCCGGAATTTTTCGAGATAAGTTATTACTTTCAGGCAGTTCTTTCATTTGCAAAAAAAAACCATGAATAATTTCCACTGGTGAGTAAAATTGTCTTCTTGGAATATATTTATACTGAACAACGATAATAAGATGATTTTATTCAGATTTTTCGAACAGCTTTACTGGAAAATTATTTTTTTTATGCTGATGTCTCTCTGTTGAGCGGGCATTACCACTGTTTCATCGCCACATTTCTTCTGTTCATCATCTTCAAGAATTGCTAATTTTTCAAAGTGGTCGGCTAAACGAGCTTCTCTCAGACAATTAAAGTGGTCTGAATAGTATATGCCGGTATTATTTTATAATCGAAATCAACAATTAAATTAAATTCAACAAACATTTCAATCTCTAATCGTACAAGCAATTATTCTTTCGAATAAATATTCATTGATTGATGCTTGATTTCAAACGGAAATTTCATTAATTTCATAAATAAAAATGGATTGAATTGGATTGAAACTTAATCACATTTGATTGAATTTGAAAATCAATTTGAATCGATCTTACAATCATTGATTACCCAACATGCCTTCAACCGATCAAATAGTCTGTGCTATCCTCATTAATGAGTTAGATTCAAATCAATTGTGCCGAGAAATACTTAATGATGTTGGAAAGACCGACTCACTAGAAAGACCAAAGAGACTTGGATTAGTTTCATGCTGTGATTATAAGGAGAATGATAGTGTTTTCAGTCAAGACAAATCATCTCTGCGGTACTTGGACCTACCCAATCCAACCTCTATCCTTGGAAGATATATGACTTGACTTAATCGGCGAGTGATTCATATGTCTAAGCTTTAAATTTTAGTATTTTATGATGAAAGCGATATCAATGAACAGCGCATTTTCGCATGAATGCAAAAAGATGCTAAAATACGGAACAGCTATCGTAAAATGATAAAACAATTTCGACTATGCAATGAAAAATTTCTTTATTTATTTTAATTTAGTTTTTTAGATTTATCAAACATTACAAGGAAAATTCAATTTATCCAAGTTAATGTAATCACTGAAAAAACTTAATAATATTTAGTCTTTTTGAATAATTGGTCCAAAAAGTTGCCAACTTTATCAGTCAACAAAGCGTCCAACTCGGCAACCTTGTCAGCATTCAAGGTGTTACTCCTGGATAAAATTAATTTATCGACTGTGAAAATATGAAAGTTAAATTAGTATTAATGCAAAATCAATTTAGGGTGAATCCGATCAAGAAAATTATTTAGATAAAAATTTTATTGAAATAAAATCTTTCAGTTAGATAAAAAATGTTTTTATCCAAACTAAAAACCAAGCTTTTTTCGTGAAAATAGCTGCGCTTTTTAGCTATTTACCTGGCTTTCTCTGAGTTTTTCCTTTTCTAATTCAAGTATAATAGTTTTTTTTAATTTTGTCTGATTTGGCTGGGTGTTAATAGCATTAAACTAATTAATCACAGATCAAAAACTAATTAAATTCAAATTTAAACTCAGCTCTACTACACCACGTTTTTCAATCAATGAAGGCGCAAGACAGCAATGTTAATAAATATATGAGTTCGGAAAAGTTAAAAATGTGACGTAGTAAAAACGTCACACTTTTGTCACTCTTATCTTTTTTATTCACATTCCTCTCTTTTTATCTAAATAATTTTCTTGATCGGATTCACCTTTAAATGTAGAAACATCTAGTTAATCAGCTTGAGTGATACTTACAGAGAAATTCATTCTCCCCAAGCCAACACACATAAGCAGCCAGATAGTTATCATAATCAGTAGCGACTACATTGAAGGAAAGGATAATTGGAGCATCTGGAAATAGGGAAATAATAATCACAATATAAAGTTGATGTTACAATGAAATAAAGAAGAAACAATTCTTGTATTGATTCAATTGTTAAATTGTCAAATAAATGAAGTACACCATTTTATATTTTGGTAAAAATTACTTACCTTTAGACACATTAAAATAGATGTTGAGTAAATTTTGATTATCAGTACGTCTACCATACGCGACATACTTTTCGCCACTAGATGATGGTTGGTACTAAAAGTACACAATTTACACAATTTACACAATATACACAAAAATACACAAAAATACACAAAAATACACAAAAAAGCACAATGCTTCCGGGCATTAACTCAACTGCCATTTTAATCTCCTTGGTGCAGATACACTAAGGAGTTTAAAATGGCAGTTGAGTTAAAAGAAGTAAACAACTTAAAAGGGCGAAATAGTCAGTCAAACTTTAAACTTAGTCCAGTATACATCAACATTTTCAACCTCTTTTTTTTGTTTTACCAACACACAAAATGCCACCAAAGGTAAGTTTTCTTATATATTATATTGATTATTAGTCCTAATATTTCATTTTTTGGTCTCTAGAAAATGAAATGCCAGTATGACGAAGTGGAATATGATGTTGAAACTCACCATATTACAACAATAAAAGGTAAAAAAATGGTTGCTTGTTCTTCTAGATGGTACGCCCATGCTTCTGACTGTGAAGATGATGGAAGTGACGATGAAGTACTACCTTACCGCGAAGAACGTGACCCTAATATTCCTACAATTGAGGAGTTGATAGATAAAACTGTTGCCAAAATAACAGCCAGTCGTGGAAAAAGGATTTATGCTTGCCCATATTGTGGGATAAATTTCAAACCAGGAGAAAAGAGAAAGGCGAATAGGCACATTAATGGTGATAAAGAGCGCAAACCGAATTGCGCTATTAGGATTTCGGAAGAACCTGATCTATCTAAACAAGCAAAAAACAGCCTATTTACGTTCGTACTGAAAAGTAATTATGTACATCATGATATTAAAATAAAACTTGTATTTTTGCATGTAATAAAATATTTATTTGGAACAGAATAAAATATGAAACAACATTTTGTTAGGGACGGTTTTCATGGGGACGGTTTTTTGGGGACGGTTTTTTGGGGACGGTTTTTAAGTTAAGTTATAATAAAAATCATGATAAATACTTTTCTTGTAATGCAATTGAGTATACTTTGCACATTAAATAGGTATCAAAATTTCCGCCAAAGCAAGATCTATGAAACCATGTTCTCTTTCTCCTCATCTTCATTTAATATTCTGAAGAAGTAACCATGTTCCAAATTTATACTTGTGAATTCTTGCGTTAATTTATCCTTTTTAGCATTCAGTACAGATGAAACTTGAGCAGCAACTTTTATTTTCTTTTCATGAGTTGGAATGGGATGTTTGACTCTACTTAGTACCCATTTAATAAATTTTCGAGATTCATTAGAAGAGTTATGTGCTAAGTTAGCTTGCTGTTTGATAATGGAATACATATGCAGACATACCATAACTCCACAATCCCATCCATTATTTTGTGGCAAAGCATCTTCTGCGAAAATATACCGCCATTTTGTGAAATCAAATGGAATTTCTGCTGTTGCATGACAAATTGTTGCGAGTTGGTGTAGATGTAACAGAAATCTATCATTGTCCGAGTGCATTGAATCAAGAACAGCAATAACTTTTTTCTTGAAATGTATAACTCCGAGAACCCAATGTGAACCTTTTGTTGCATCAGAATTCATGACTATCAGGATCATATCTTTGTTCATGGCCTCATTATTTGATAAAAAAGTTATTATTGGGCTTTTATTAGTCAATTTAGATTTTGCTGTTATATCAATGAGCATACTTTGAAAAAAATAACTTGGGACTAGTAAAATATTACGTTCTTTTTCCATTATGTTTATCATGTGCTGTCCAAAATCATTCAGCACTTCATCTTTTAACCAATCCTCCCCATTCAAAGAATTGTATTTGTAACCATGTATAAACTTGAAGTTATCTGGAACCTTTTGCGAAAGGTATCTTGCTTTTCGTGGTAAAGATGCATCTTGATTAACATCCTGGTCGCATTCAGAGTCTTCTTCTTGTTTCCACGGATCTGATTTGAATCGTTTATTCTGTTGAAACTTTGAATCCTCATCTAAATTCTCATCGATTTGATCTTGTTCCACATCTTCAAGCAATGGTATTGTTGATGCATTCGAGTTATCACATTCATGTGAATCGACTTTCAAGTTTGCATTTTCTTTGACTTTTAAAGAGTTGTCCGCTTCAGTGTACTTTATTATTACTCTCGGCTTGTTAACAGGTTTCTTTCCGGATTTTCGATCTTCTAGTCTAGATTTGATCGAAGATAGTTTATGAGGAGACTTGTTTTTTTGCTCTAGTAAAATTCCTCCTTTGTGAACAATATCAATGGCTTTTTTATGCATGCATAATTTCTTTGCAGCGCAAGAACAAGCTAGTTTATTGTTTTTATACCAAACAGAAGAGACATCATGACTAAACGGATTTTTGACTGTATAGCACTGATTCACAGAATCAAAACCAATCAATTTTTGCTTCACACATATTGATGCTAATGAATCTGCTACATCTTCCTCTTGCTTGAGAGGTTCGTCATCGTCAGCTAAATTTTTTATGATCTTGATCAAATGATCCATGGTATTTTCATGCAAAAGTGGTAGAGCACCACAACGAAATTTATCATCTCTGTAAACTGGTTTGAGGCTGAATCGACCTGAATCATCACAAGCACGATCAAATTCAGAAAGAAGAGATGATTGTAAACAAAGAGCATTTAGAATGAATTGATCAAATCGAATATCAACACGATTTTGAACAATTTTCAAAAGATTATTCAAACCTCCTGATAGATTTGTGGTTGGTCTTTTGTTTTCTTGCTTAAATACTGGAAAGCGCTGATAAACACGACTCGAAAGATGATTTTTCAGGTCAGCTTCTATATTTTTTTGAAAATATTCTAAGAAACCAGATGACATTCGACTTTTGAACTCTACAAGTGCACGATCATAGCTATCTTCGCAGTCACATTCTATTAATTTTTCAATCATATCTATATAAATAAGTTTGTCGGTAGAACTGGCTTTCTTGTCTGCTAACCAGAACTTAATATCTTTTTTTAAATGTACATGACAGAATAGAAGTGAATCGCCTAAATTACATTTTTTAATTGCATTCTTAATAGACTTCTCTCTATCAGTTACAATTGGTAACTTTTCATTCATTTTCAGCATATTTAAAACTTGCCGCCAGAAAATTTCATGCACTTCTTCTGTTTTTTTTTCATGAAAAAGAAAAAGTGCAGGATATGCAGGATCTTTAACCAATCTTGTATTTCGAACTGTTAAGACAGAAACAAAATACTCGCACAAATTAAATGTTGTATCGTAGTTAATTATCTGAGTATTAGAAGTCTCGCATTTTGCATCTTCAAACAAAGTATTCACTAATTTTATACCTAACTCTAATCCAAATACAATAATCAGATCTGGCAATAAATTGAAATGGTATATTGAACCTTTCAACTCTGTTCTACCGAGTAAATAGATTGAAAAAATCTCATTAGGGGAAATCTTCTTGCTTAAATTATTACTATGCTTAATGTTCTGAATTTGTTTCAAGTTTCTCGGCAAAACGTGTTTGTTCAAGAAAACTTGCTCTTCCTCATTTTCAGGTCGATTCTTACCTCGCAACTCAGTTTCTAAACGATGATAATTATCGAGATTACCTTTATCAGCGCAAGTTTCCTTTGCTTTTTCAATTGTTGATGGTAAAGTGCGATGAAAGATCTTCGATTTGTCTTTGGAATTCCCGTGACTTCTTTTAAACTCATTTCTAATATTCCCTTGATAATATATCAAACCAATATCACTTTGAGGACTTTCACGATACATGAATTTACAAAAGTTTCCTTCATTTGCACTTTCATTATCATTTTTAACTTGTAAATAAAATTTACACCTTTCCAACTGGCGGTCTTTGTATTTGTACCATCCTGAACGTTTCCAAGAAAATCCATCTACTAGAATGTCATTTTTCTCCGTCATTTTGAATGCGTAAATTCCATAAGATGTTGGTGAACATGGCAATCTGGTTGGTAAATTATCCAATTTCTTTGCTGATGTTAAATAGTTCTTTAAATCTATTACAGTTGGTTCAGATTCACAAATTTTTAACAAAATCATTTCACAATTTTTAAATTCGTTACTTCACTGATTAAAAATAAATAATTAACAGACAGTTATAATTAGACAGAGTATAAAAAACTAAATTAACGTAATATTTTAAATTACAATAGGCAATTGGTAATTTTGTACATATGTTTCGCAATTAAGTGCCAAAAATAAATTAATCAGCGCCATCTATCGAGAATTTAAATATTTAAAATTACTCTACTTGAGCATATAAAACACTTTTTTCATATTATACTTATGTTAATTATCTATTTTCATTATTTTGGCTCAATTTAATTGATTCCCATTCAAATTAACATCATTGTGTATTTTTGTGTAAATTTGTGTAAATTTGTGTATTTTTGTGTATATTGTGTAAATTGTGTAAATTGTGTACTTTTAGTACCAACCCTAGATGATGGATGAATAATTTTCATTACAAAAAATGCTATCTTATTGATCTATGCTTACTTACGTAGATGTAGAACCAGGCCATTTAATTTCAAAGTCAACATCTTCTCGAGGAGTGAAAGTCATTGTTGAATTTGTGGTTGAAGATATTATTATTCCACGAATTACATACCATTGACCCGCAATCTAAATCAATTGAATACCGACTTAATGGATAAACACAAACGTATCGGCTAAACAGAAAAAGTTATTATGAACTTACTTTGCCAATATCGGCACCAGGAGTAGTTTCAGGAACTGGACAAGTGAAACCAAAAGCTGAAGAAGCAAAAGCAAAGACAACGAAGAGAGTCACGATCATTTTCATAGTTTTGGTAAAGGATTAGAAATTAAATGTTTTTAATGAAAATCGTTGATAAACTGATGCTGGTAATGGGTTTAATATCTCCTTTTATACTTTATATCATCAGATTATCAAATGTTATCATCTAAATATCGAAATAAAAATCTAAGATAAATCAATATGTTTTATTAGCTATCAAGAAAAGACCCCTTTCAAACAATGAAAATGCACTCAGAGTAAAAAAATAAAGTATGAATTTCATGAGAAGGATATGGAGTTATTATTCATTATCATGTGCCACATTAATGAACAATACAATTCTGCTGAATTTTGTTTTTTAGGAAAGAGTTGGGAGATTATAATCATTTGTATTGTTACCACCATAAGTTATAACCAAATCAACAACAAGAATAGCTATTTGATTACCGTAATTTTCACCCCACACGTTTGTTCCGAATTCAAATTCTTCTCTTTTAGGTCCTTTAGAGGCGATGAAATCATGAGGATATTCCGCTTAGTTTTTAATGAAACTTTTCTATTGCAACAAATCAATTATATTTGCCTAATGAACCTAATGAATCAAAAAAGCGCTTCAACAAGTTGTCAAAGGGCTAAAGATTTGGTTTAGTTAAGTGGCTTCAATAGTATATGACGGTATTTTCTTATGTTATAATCAAAATCAACAATTAAATTAAATTCAACAAACATTTCAATCTCTAATTGTACAAGCAATTATTTTTTCAAATAAAGATTCATAGTGTTTGATTTCGAACAAAAATTCATTAAAATGGTAATAAAAAAGGATTGAATTGGATTGAAACTTAATCACATCTGATTGAAATTTGAAAACCAATTTGAATCGATCTTACCATCATTGATTTAGCAACATGCCTTCAACCGATCAAATAGCCTGTGCTATCCTCATCAATTAGATGTAAATCAATTGTTCCGAGAAACACTCGATGATGTTTCACTGGAAGGACCAAAGAGACTTGGATATTTTCATGTTATGATAATAATAATGATAGTGCTTTCAGTCAAGATATATCATCTCTACGTTACTTGGACTTACCTAATCCAGTCTCTATCAATTGCCTCCAAGGCTATGATTCAACTAGGAAATATGGCCATGTTAATTCTAAAGATATACTCTTATTGCGATGGGTCTTGAAAAATCGTTCATTAATGTGGCACATGATAATGAATAATATCTCCATATCCTTCTCATGAAATTCATACTTTATTTTTTTACTCTGAGTGCATTTTCATAGTTTGAAAGGGGTCTTTTCTTGATAGCAAATAAAACATATTGATTTATCTTAGATTTTTGTTTCGATATTGAGATGAAATTATTTGATAATCTTTTGATATAAAGTATAAAAGGTGATATTAAACCCATTACCAGCATCAGTTTATCAACGATTTTCATTAAAAACATTTAATTTCTAATCCTTTACCAAAACTATGAAAATGATTGCAACTCTCTTCGTTGTCTTTGCTTTTGCTTCTTCAGCTTTTGGTTTCACTTGTCCAGCTCCTGAAACTACTCCCGGTGCCGATATTGACAAAGTAAGTTCATAATAACTTTTTCTGTTTAGTCGATACATTTGACTTTATCCATTTATTTGGTGTTTCATTGATTCAGATTGCGGGTCAATGGTATGTAATTCGTGGACTAATAATATCTTCAACCACAAATTCAACATTGACTTTCACTCCTCGAGAAGATGCAGACTTTGAAATTAAAGTTCCTGGTACTACATCTACGTAAGTAAGCATAGTTCAATTATTTCATATTTTTGTAATACAAATTATTCATCCATCATCTAGTGGTGAAAAGTTTAGCGCGATTTGGTATGGTAGACGTACTGATAATCAAAATTTGCTTAATATCTATTTGACTGACTCAAAAGGTTAGTAATATTTCCCACTTTATATCAAATGGTGTACCTCATTTATTTGACAATTCAACAATTGAACAATATAAGAATTATTTCTTCTTTATTTTTCATTGTAACATCAACTTTAATAATTATTGTGATTATTATTTCTCTATTTCCAGAGGCTCCAATTTTCTTTACCTTCAATGTAGTTGCTACTGATTACGATAACTATCTGGCTGCTATCTGTGTTTGGTTATTCAGGGTGAAATTCGTTGTAAGTATCACTCAATCTGACTAACTAAATGTTTCTTCATTTAAATTGATTTTGCATTAATACAAATTTAACTTTCATATTATCACAGTCGATAAATTAATTTTATCCAGGACTAATACCTTGAATGCTGACAAGATTGTCGAGCTGGATGCCTTGTTGACTGATAAAGTTGGCAATAGTTTTGTGCCAAGTATTCAAAAAGACTAAATATTGTTTAGTTTGACAGTGATGACATTTACTTGGATAAATGGAATTTTCCCTCTAATGGTTGATAAATCTTAAAAAACTAAATTTAAATAAATTAAGAAATTTTTCATTGTATTGTCGACAATTGTTTCATCATTGCAAGATAACTGTTTCGTATTGCAGCTTCTTTTTGCATTCATGCAAAAATGCGCTGTTCATTGATAACACTTGCATCATAAAACACTATAATTTAATATACCGGGCGTTTTTTTCTCATTTTACGCCTTCATGCAGTCATAACTCACGAACGGTTAGTGCTACAGACTTCAGATTTAAAACATAAGCTTATCTAGATTGCACAACGATAAGTTCAAGTGCTCAAGGTTATTCAAGGTCAATTCTTTATTTGACCTCTAATTGACATTGAAAGGTCATTTTCTGAAATCGCAAAATTTTTCGGACCCGATAGTGTTAGTTCCATATCCATAACTCATACCATTGGAAAGATGGGATGAATTTTTCCTGATCAACTGAATGTTAAGGAATCACCCATATCCTTTAGTCAGTATGAGTTATGGACATGTAACT